CCCAATGCATGAATTGCAACATTAATATTATACAAACATGTTCTTGAGACAACATATCAATATATATAGGCATCTTATAACAGATAGAGAAAAATTGGAACTTGCATCGAAAAATAGATGAGATTTAGAGTTGTTTGTAAGAGACGTGAAGATTGAAAGTGTTGGGTGCATGGACAAAGAAAGTTCTTGGCAACAGGGTTGATGCATTTACTCAAGGGTAGCATGTTTTAAAATTCTTGTCAAAGCTGTGTTATGGAGTAACATTTGTATACAGTGCTCAGATAGTTGGAAACAAGTCTTTCTGGTGGAACACAATTCGTTTCCCATTTCATGGTGAGCAAAATAGGACAATTGTGCCAGATAATGGGACATTTCCCGTTTCACGGTGTCATTTCACCTTACTGAAAACATTTTGGTTAATCAATGATTCGTTTTCCTGTTCCCAGAAGCTGCAATGACACATGCTTGGTATATCAATGATGACATTTTTTCACTGACATTGTATATTTACTAACGTATTGTTCAATTTGTTTGATATCAATTGTGGTTAACCAATTTAGAATTAATAACATCTATTCTATTTACTGCAGGTAGCTGCAACTTCTGATCTAATGCTTGGATATGTGGATTTTTCCTCGGTGGAGATGAAAAAAGAGCTGACCTTCCTCCTCGCCTTCAGCAAAGATTTCCAATGTCTTTGTTGTTTGGAGGAGATGGAAGTTACATGGCTCTTTTCTCCTTCACAGTGACAATATCCTCACTAGCCTCATGAGTCAAGTCTGCTATTTGTTATTAATAAAGATAATGGAGTGTTCAAGATTATTTTTTTTCATATGAATATATTTTACCAGCATAACATCTCATTCCAATCTCTTCTAGTAAAGTGATGTTGACTGTTATTTTTGCATATTGTATAGTCTGTCCTCCTACATATCTGGTATCGATTAGTGTGCTGGTCTAAATGCTTAGTTACATTTAGTTCGCCGTGGACATTTAAGAACAAGTTTTGTTTAATAATGAACTGGCTTGAAAACACATGCAAATCCTACTTTAATCCTATGTGTGTACATGTTGATCTGGCTTGCTTTCAGCATTGCTTGTGATTATCGAGTTTGACTCACTGTACATGCTGTTGAAGATGAAAGTACACAACCAAGTTGAAGAGCCAAATGTAACTTATTAGATGAGCAACAGTCATGGTAATTTGCATGTGATTTTCTCATTTATTTGTCCATTTGGTTAAATTGTTCCTCTAGAACCAATTAGATGGAATGGCTAATAGCTTGATTTTTATTTTCCTATCTGATACGCAGTTTAAATTAATAATGATTGGAGGAAAGCAGTGGATGATTCAAGCGCCTGTGACATCTATTGACACATAAAAGTATAGGTGGAGGAATTTTACAAATTAAGATTTGCAAACACTTGAAGAGAAGAAGACTCTATGTTATCCCTCTCTTTTATACTTCATAATACTAAACCTATTAGTCATCAGGTAATTTTGATGTTTTTATGTGTAATCATCAGAAATAGCTGCTCAATCTATTGCCCTGTGCTAGAAGGATCTTAGCTGCTCAATGTGGGGTGGGGAGCAAGGGCACATGGAAGAGTCTAAGGTGGGGATGCATCTAGGGGAGTATTTACATATTTTATATATAAATTTATTGTAAGGAATATATATACGTATATTTTATTGAGTTGTATTGAACATGATAAAATGTCTTTGGTACACTACCAGTTAAACCTTAACATAAGCATAGTATATTTATGTTTTTTTCAGTCCCTCGAAACTTTAGATTGCTTGAGGAATTGAACGTGGGAGAAAAGGGTATTGGAGATGGTACTGTGATAGTATGGAATGGATGATGGAGATGACATTTACATGCATTCATGACAGCACCATTATTGGCCTCATAATGTAAGCAACCTTTTTAAGTTCATTACATTCTTTTGGAACTGTCTTCTTTTATGCAGAGGCTATTTGAAGTATATTAATGCATTATCTTTCTAGACTCCAGTTCTTCTTCTGGACTAGTGATGCTACTTGTGATCTTCAATTTTCCTAGTTTAATCCTTTGACTGAGAATCTTTCTAGTCAAAAAAGAGGGGAGGAAAAACTTATTCCCTATTTTATTTTTCCTAAACTTCGCATCTTACTATAATTTATACCTCTCAATTTACGTTCTTAGTTGTAAACATGCAGATGTTCTTCATGACCACAAGTGTAAAATTACATGGCTATCTAATGGAATGATAATTCATTGATGAATTTAGTTTTATGATATTTGTGATGTCTTTGTTTCTATAAGATGAGCATTCCAAGTGTAATATAACAGGTTCGTGCTGTCCGCTTACTGGGTTCTTTCTTTTTGTAGGAACATTTTGCAAAACGAAATAAGATGGTCTTACCTTAAGATATATAGGTCAGTAACCTCTCACTTCCGTTCTTGTTTGTCTTATGTTTCTTCTTGAACTAAACTTGGAAATTATCAAACAGAGTGGCTGCGAAGGGAAATAACAAGATTTGGACCTGATCAATTTTTCTGACAAATCTACATACATGATCCGGGCTATTCGAAGCAATGCAGCTGACAAGTGATGCTATTGTACACTCTTTTGCCAGAGTGCTGTTCATGGAGCTATGGCCGGGTAAACGCAGGCTAACAAGTGGGCTTGATTAATGGCAGGACCAAAACTATATTTCCTTTCGTTAATATGTAATAACTATACCTATAATTAATTTAACA